GCTTAAGTGTCGCGGACTAGCAGAGTAAACGGTCCACCTCGTGCACATCCTCATGGCGGACCACATTCCCCTCACAAATCAGATTCTTTCTCCCATGTGCGAACGCGAAGCTTGTCCGTCTCTAATTCAAATGACTTTGTGCTCGCTGGCTTTCCGAGGGATGGACCGTTGTTTCTTGTTTTGAGTTTGTCGGAGGACACCGGTGGATAGACATTTGCAACTGGCATTTACCAGAAACCATCAAACCTAACCTTAAAATCGCTCATCAACTCCCCGTCCAGATGGCAGCAGATTGTCCCGGAGTAAGATATGAGATTGAGATTTCCCACGGAGAGTGGCGGATTACCGCACCAATGAGGTGTCCAGCAGGGCGAGTAAAGCCATGGGTCGCAGCGGATGTAATCAAGCGTTTTGACGCGATGGGACTCTCTAGTGGTGGCACAGTAGGCTAAGTTTTAGGGGCCACGGCCCATGAGCTTCGCTGGAGTAGGGACCCGTTTTAATGATTTGTGATCCTCCCGTTTTGCGTAAGTTATCAGGCCTGTTTACACCTTATCCTGATTAGAAGTTGGAAGTCGGTCGGCTCGATGATTATAATTTGGTTGATCTGGACCTGGTGGATTTTACCTAGGTCGTCGACTGAAGACCAGAGAATCTACAGGAACGGTTCCGAGGTGGCTCGGAGAGGAGAGATCCATTTCTATCCGTCGTTCGTCGTGGTATCGGGAGCTGAATCGGTAGTCGATTCTCCCTCGCTCTTTTGTCTCTCTCATCCTGCCAAACACGAGGCCAGACACCAGATGAATGCAAGGGGTTGATCGTCCTGATTATACATCAACCAGGGACCCTTGTTTCTAAGGCAACCTCTACCCGCTCATACTACGTACTCCCAAGCGATATCCCTCTATACTGCAACTAATTTAGATCCTTGAAAGGGGGAGCCAGTCCAATACTACGTACTACCTACCGTACAAACCATGGACAAAGCGCCCAACAAGGAGTTTTGAAACGAAAAGGGTGTGGACTATTGTCAGCTAGCTGATCACCTCCCATCCTCCTGCCAATCATGACCCCAAGCTAGGTCGACCGACGACCTTGGCGGGGGAAGGAATTAGGAGTACTCCGTACTTAGGTTAATTGCTGGCCCCAGCTGGCAACAGCTGCAAGTCATCACGACGCTAACTTCACGATGCAGCTCTAGCTTTGGATTTCTCCCGACGGCGCGATTTAATAACTTATGATTGATGTCGTGATGATTCGTGTCGTTTTAGCGTCCTGTGCCATTGGAAAATTGAGTATGTTGTTTTTATTGACGGTAACTAATTAACGAGCATATTTACTACGTAGTACTTCCCCTTAGAATACATTTAGTCAAAATCGCCCAGTCCAGTCCAGTCAGCCCATCTAACCAGTCCAGCCAGTCAGCCAGTCCAGCCGGGCCGGCTGAGACAACCTCTCCTGGCAAACAATCAATCAATCAATCCCGCTTACCAGACTGGGATTTAGCCGGCATCTGGGCTCGCTCTCACGAGACTGTCAGGCACGCACTATATTTCAAACTTGAGTGTCAAAATCTGTCTCTATGGAGAAGGACGCTTTCAAATAGCCTGGTCTTTTAGCCACGCCTTTTCTTGGCGGAAATTCTTGTTGCTTTCATTCTGTGAGACATGATTGCTTGTATCTTTTTTTCGGACTCTTTTCACTTCCGGAGTCAATACTAGTCATACACCTTCCTATTCATTAAATCCTAGCAATACCTATCGGAGTATTCCAGCCACGCCCAAAGGATGGTGAACTTACGGCCCACGGGAGAAAAGAAGAGAAGAGAAAAGTCCCGACCAACTTTGGTACAACGATCTCAGCTCATCCCATCAAACTGATAATTACAATCACAATTATCATAATTATAATGAAGATAATGATAATTCCCCCAAAATCCCCATACCCAACCCCATCCATCCATCATCCACTCAACCAGAACAAAAACGGCTCAGAATCCACACCGGCAAGAAGTCTGGGGTCGATCGACTGAGTCGTGACCAGTCCCCACGGCAGAAGCCATAACCTAGGTTATACTGTCAAATCTCCCTTCCCCCGAGATGCATGGCGGATCCTTGGTAGAGATCGGTTACTCCAGTCCCCGACTCCCAAGTTCCAACTTACGATAAATGTGGGGAAATCAAACAGCCTGGAGAGGAGAAAACACGAGGTGATCTACTGGGTATTACCCAATAATCAAGTACTTGACGCTGGGTTGTAACTTGTCTGGGCTTCTGTATAGCGGGGAAGTGGGACTTTTTTTTTCGTCTACCTTGCCCGTGTTTGGTATACAGTATATCATAGCGTGGTACCTAGTAGATTATATGGCATGATATGACGACCTTGATTAGAATCATTCGTCCGTCCGAGGTGTCGGTCTGATGATAGTGTCTTGTCCTGGTCTGAGCGGCAGGTAGGGTCTTGCTGTTCCCCGGATTGCTGCTGCTGCTGCTGATCCGGTAGTCCTGATAGCTAGACAAGCAGATCAGCATGAATAGTTCACTACCACTCCTCCCATCTACCTATCACATATCCTATCACCAGAGGAGGTGCATGGTGCAGCCAGCAAAGTCATGGCGATGAGGGGGATCAACAGCTCTACCGAATCCTTTACCGGATGAAGGAACCAATCCAGATCAAGCCCGACAACTACAGCCTCTCTGCATCTTCGCGTAATAAAACATATCAAATAAGTAGCACCGAGCAGAAGAGAAAGGCAGCAGATACAAAGATACCCGAGCTCTGGCTAACCACCAGGTCAGGCCCGGCTATCATCTCCTTTCTTCACTTGACGTCCTCGTGTCACAAGAAAGTTTTGAAATCTGCCCGAGCTTCAAAGACTGGACGGACTCCTAATCAGGCATGAATCAAATACGTTGTGTCGGGGAACTGCAGTGTTAGTATTCCCCAACCCAACCCAACCAGTCAATTGGTCTGGTTCCAGAAGACGGATGTGGTTATCCAGTTGCAGCTCGGTTCGGGGGAGCGGAAGGATTGAAGATCTTGGCATATTACCATACTCCTACTACAGAGTACAACCAAAAGGCAATTTCCAGATTCGGTCAAACTCCCAATGCTAGTTTATGATTCTAGGTAGCGACAACATGATGATATAATGATGATGGTAATATCTTCCATGTGGGCCTGAACGGACACAAGAAGAGAGATCCAAGTACCGTGCCGGAAACGCGGAAGGCCGCAGCAGTCAGGTGACACTTGTGATGGATGGACGGACGGATGGGCCCACTTTAAAGGGTTCAAAAACTGAGTTTATGAAGTAACTACCCGACCAAAATGGTACATCAGATGTATACGGAGTACTCCGTATGTAGATAGCCTCTGATTTGAGGGAAACCGGTTCGAGAGATGTATCTCACCAATAACCTACCTGGGTAGTGAAGTACACTGATCTCCAGGATACCTACTCCGGCACTACGTAAGTAGCAAATAAGAAAATGAAACCACGTGGACCGCCACATGTGTCCACTGTCCACACTCCACAGCCCACCAGAATCAATAGTTTTGCTGGGCATTGGTAAGACGCGGAGACGAATTGCTGATCATGACGATTCCGGCTTGTTTGTGGGATGTTTGTCTGGTTTGTGATCGAGGTGGGTCACGTGGGATGGGACTATGGGGTATGGAGAAGATCAAGAAGGTCATTCGTCTTTGACAATAGCGATTGCTAGATGTCGCTATGAGTTGCTGGGCTACCTTTGAAGAACATCAACAGTAGTGTACTCTGTACAGTCGCTCTCTACGTCCAGTTCATCGTCCCATAATTTTCGGCAGCTTGATGAATACTCGGACCCAAATGAACACACTGTCAGGACCAAGCAGTCGTACAGCATCTACCAGTACTCACAGTGAATTCTACAGTTTTATCACTGGCAGTGAGGGCTATATCTCTGCTGGGGCTAGCAACGTACTCCTGTCAAACTTCCGTCTCCTTCCATCTGGATAACCGCCTTCGGCCTCGTACCAGTGCCATCAATCTGATACTCCTTGCCCAGTGTCAAAGTAACTGCAATCATTCTCGACTGGACACCTCTTTCGAAAGTAAGTTGCAATAGCATGCAATCAGCGAGATTCTATATCAGTGTCTGCACTTCTGATGTCATCAGGGATGGACTTCTGCGTGGCAGTATGCCGTTATAATGCTCCCAGACTGTGCTACTGACTGGTATGGGGCAGAAATGATGTCGCTTGATCTGTTCTTCATATCATCTGCAGGGGAGACTATTGGTTACTGACCCTATTTTTGACACGGGAAATTCCCAAACAATGTATGTCTCCCTTCACAGCCAATGTGGGCAATACTGAAAAAGAGATAACTCCCAGCCTCTAACCAGGTTCATACAGCGCTTCATCTCTGCGCTGAGATGACAACTACTGTCTCAGCATCGACGAAGAGACACTTATCCGGAAGTTCGACTAGATGATTATGCTGCGTACGGACTAGTCCTCAAGTCGAGAACGAATTTGGTCCACCACATCATGGCCATGAATGTAGTACCCGGGCTCCTCATGCTCGCTACTAGCATCACATTCGTCCTGTGCGTCTCAAACTATCAGACGACATCAAACTTGTGCACGAGGAAAGGGTCCTCGCCGTCGGGGACTCCGCGAGAATCACTTCCATGGGATATATGGTACAATGTAGACTCTACTCTGGACACTATCTTCCAGATAATGTCCTAGTGGACATAGCATTATGTACAAGATCAATAATCAACTATGAAACTTGTGAACTCAAAAGTGCATACAATCCTGAAATCACCATTCATGTAGCATATTATCAAATTCGTTCAAAAACACAGCATGTGTAAACATCCCTACTACAACCAAAACCTCCTACCCCAGCACCAATTCAACAAAAAGACAAACACAGTCCAGCATGAAAGCCAGCACAAAAATCAACCCAACCCCGGATTGGGGTTGGAAAAAAGAAAAAAAAGAAGCGACTCTGGCGCGGCTCGAACACGCGACCTTTGGTGCCGGAAACCAACGATCTACCACTGATCTACAGAGCCCGATCTGTGGAAGAAGTTCTCCTGCAAAGTGATACATACGCCATTATTATAAAATATCGACTTCACCGGTCAACGTAAGTAAATGTTGTTTATGTGTGTCGGGGTGGTTGGTTAGTATTAGGTGATGGGTATTAATACTTGTCTGCTTTGGCATATATTTACAGCTTTATTGAGCTTTGGGGTATTCGGTCAGTGATTTGGAGAGGGTTCTCGTTTCTAGAAGAAAAAAAGTTACAGATGTATATATTTTCATAATGATGAAGTGGACTCCAGCTGGGCGGTTGACGAGTAACTGTCGTACTCGGAAGCCCATCAAACCATGGGAAATTTCCTTGCCAGAGCAAAGCAACTGACGTCTTATCTCAACCTTAACTGAGATCTGAGCAATCCTCAATTCCGCATACGAGTACTAGGTGAAGCCCGTGTGACCAGGAAGAGAAACCAAAGGTCGATAGATAGACATGACATCGTCTTCATCCACTGGAAAGAATCCCAGATCTAACAGCTATATACTACACAAGAACCAAATCCAGACCCACGCCTACATGCTCATAATACAAGACAAGACAAGAACTCGCGACAGGGTATTCAAACAAGACAATAACAAGTACAAGGACAAAGAACTCAAGAACATGCCCAGCAAACTGGATCAACGCTCCAACCTACGCGCAGCAGCTTCCAGCCGCGCATTGAACGCCCGCATTTGGCTCAGTAGTCCGCCTTGAGAACCGGGAGCACGGGAGCTCACGTTCTCTGCGACGTTGCGGAGCATGAATTCTAGCCCCGCGGTTGAGGCGCCAGCGTGGTTTGGGGTGCTGGCTTCGTCGTTTGCGTCTGCGGTGCGGTTCTGGCTACGCTCGAGGGCCATATCGAGGCTGTGGAGGGAGTTGTTGATGGTGGAGCGGGTCTAGATGTCGGGGTTAGTTTTTTCCCCTGGGGAGAGAAAAAAGACAGAGAGGGGGAGGCTTACGGTATTTGCTTTTTCTTCCTCAGAGTGCTTCTTGCGCACGGCGTCCATACGCAAGGCGACGTCTTCTCGCTGCGCCCGGAGGTGGTAGAGTCGACCCCGCATGTCCACCATCTCTCGCTTGGCTCTTCGGAGCTGAGTGCCCAGGGTGAAGTTGCTGTCAAGCATGTCGCTCAGCTCGAGGAGACGGCCCTCGAGTTCTGAGCCGTATGCTTCAACGGCCTTCCGCTTGTGCATCCACTCTGAGCGTCGCGACGCGTTGCCTTCGTTGGCAATGCCGGTGTTGAGGGTCGCGATTGTTTTCTCCAACGTCTCTCGGCAGATTTGGCTGAGCACGTCGGCTGCGTTCACACCACCCCTGCTTGGGAGCTTCATTTTCTGGCGCGTCGAGAGCTCGTCACCTGATCCCTCCTCGTCGGACGCACCGGCGGACCCAACGTCACCTCCAAGCGAGGCCACATTTGCCAGCCGATGGATGGTGACGGGGATTGCCTCCCCACGAGGCTGCCTAGGTTTCCGTGCGGGCCGAGGGCGCTCCTCAGCGGGTTGTTCGGTAGTAGGTTCTTCGGGCTGTGCTGATGGCTGAGTGTCTTTCTTCGATGACGGTCTGCCTTGTTTACGCTTCGTTGGCAGCTCGGGCTCCGGTTCGGCTTCCGGCTCCTCGGCCTGCTCAGACTCAGGTTCAACTTCCGGTTCCGGTTCTGGTTCCGGTTCTCGTCGACGCTTCTTGCTTTCTGTAATCTGGGAAGGAATTTCGGTAGTCTCAGCGGTCGCAAGAGTCCTCTTCGCAGGGCGGCCAGCGCGCTTCGCTGGGAGTGTCTCCTGTGACTTCGCTGGAGGCTGACGCTCTCCGCGCTTGGTCGTGCCATTCGACTCAGTACCATCGGGCGTCTCAGCGTTGATCTGACTCTCTGCCCGTTGCTTCGTGGTACGAGGAGCTTCGGGTGTAGGGTCACGGCTTGGCTTCTTGCCCCGACCTCTCTTACCTCTGGCTGGAGGTGAGGTAGTCTCTGGCCTGCCTTCAGCAGGGGCGGTCTGTTCTGATTCTAGCATTTGATGTGCGGGCATAGATGATGACCGGCGAGGTCCTGGTCGGGCATTTGACCGTTTCTCGCGCGGTTGCGACCCCTTTCTTGTCGCGGGGATATCTTCCTTTTCTGCCTGTATCTCTGAAGCTTGCGTTTGCTGGGCGTCTTCTGCCGTAGGCGTTTTTCGTGATCGCCTCTGCCGCAGGGGCATGGGGGCTCCCGCATCCATATGGGCATCCTGGGCCTCCCTCTGGATGGTTTCCGAGGGCGACTGCCCCGCCTGTGTTTGGTGTGTGTCTCGCCCTGGTACGTTCGCCTCTGTTTGTACCGGTCGCGGGGGTGTTGGTGCTTTTGCACCCGCAGAAGTATCTCGAGGCTCGTCTGGCGTCGATCCGGGAGGTGTTGTCTGTTTTCGTGAGTCTTTAGCTGGTGGTCGGCCTCGGGCGCGTTTCTCAGGTTGTGGCTTTGGCGAGGTCGTTTCGGGGGCAGCGGTTTGTTTCTCCAATTCAGGGACCTGCTTTGTTTGTTGAGCAGCTTGGACGGCGGTGTCTGATGTCGCAACATCCTGTGCGGAGGGTTCATCGGCACTGGTACTTCTTCGCTTGCGCTTATTCTTTGCCTTGTCGCCCGGCGGAGATTTCGTCTCGTTCGATCTGAGCGACCCATTTCGAGATGCCGGACTCTTTTGCTTATCATTATTTTCGGTTGCCCTCTCATTCGGATTCTCCTGACCGGATGCTAGTTTGTCAGGTAATTCGGGGATGGTAGACGTGGGAGCTCCTTTCGGATTTTCTTGAGGGGCATCTTGAGGGGCTGTCGGAGGGGTTGCCTGAGGCGTCTCTTGAGCGGGCTGTTCTGGGCTCGATATTGTATCTGCAGCCAAAGGTTGCGCTTTTGGTTCGTCGCGTGATTCAGATATGGCATTTGATTTATCACCGTTCTGGAGGGGTTGTACGGTCGGTTGTTCTGTTCGGGCGGGTTGTACACCAGCAGAGGCCACCGGTATCCTGCTAGGGGGCTCTTTGAGAAATTTAGCAACAAAAGAGGTATTCATTCTGAGATCATCAAACCTACCAATCCGTTGCCGCTTGGCACTGCGCGAAAGTTCTGGAGCTTCATTCGCGTCCAAGTCGAACGTCGATGGTCGCGGGGGAAGAGCATTACGCGCACCCCCCGGCGTTCGCTGACTCGTCGCTTGTTGCGATACTGAATTCCTTTCCGGAGGTGATAATGGACGCTGTCTTGGTTGCGGAACTGCAGTGGTTCCTGAGGGTGGAGGGGCAGCAGACGCGATGTCAACATTGGCGGGTTGCGACGCGGGTTGGGAGGGCTCCTCCGGCGGAGGGGCCAGGCCAAAGGAAAAGCCAAAATCGACTTCTTTAATCTTGCGTGTCCTGATCCAAAGCGTTGAGTATTAGCTGTGAATGTCCCAAATCAATTTGTCGCGGGGTAGAAGAGGCGCGTACGCAGCTCCGCGCTGCCGCATTTGGCGGCGCTCCTCTCGATCTAGAGGTATTCGGTCAGCATCGCATCGATTGAATGGTTTACTTGGAAGGAAAAAGAGAGATCGTACTAGAGGCCATGATCGAGAAGTAGCGCCTTTGCCAGGCTCGACGCGCAGATACACGCGAAAGAGAGCAAAGGGGGTGGTGGGGGTTTTGACAGAAGATTGTTGTGGTAGAGTTGGGGTTGTGATCGATGATGGAGAGGATGATGATCGTGGATTGCATGCCGCTCCGCCTAATTCAGTTTGGCGGCAATTCGCCCAACTTGAACAACTCCTCCACCTTCTCTCTTTCCATCCGTATTCACGATCCCGGATTTGCAGCACTAATCTATTCTTTACAATTGTCATTGGTACCGGTGTTGAGTTAATTTGCAAATAATTATATTCCCAGACGCTGTCTCCATGGGTTGGTTCTGGGGAAGTTCGAACAACGACGACCCGGTCAAAAAGCTTGACCCGGGTCTCCGAGAGTACCTCGAGCACGAAGCTCCCAAGAAATATGTCCCAGCCCCCTCGTCGACGGAGTCTGCGAAACCGGTAGATGCGCATTCGCAACCTCAATCCTCCGCGACCTCTGATCCATCGCAACCCTCCGTGCCCTCCAAGTCTCTTTACCCCGACGGCCGTTACGCCCATCTCTGGAAGAACTACAAACCGCCCCCGGAGGAGACCAACGAAATTAAAGGCGCAGAACGCGTGATCGAGAACTACAAGAAGCGCAATGACACTGTACACCGGGCGGCGATGGAGAACTGCGCATTGGAGCACGAAGCCTTGACCTACTGTTTCCAGACCGGCAACTGGCAGAAGCAGCTGGAATCCCGGCTGACTCTATGCTCCGATGAAAATGCCAAGTTTTCCCGTTGCTTTACGACGCAATCTGTAAGTACAGCGTTGACGGGGTGGCTCTGTGATGTTTACGGTGTGTTTGAGGGCTGGGTGGTTGCTAACGTGTCTCCAGAAATTCCTCCAGGCTCTCGGATACGCCTCTTCCTTCCAGGAAGACGAGGAAAGAGAAGAACGGATACAGATGCACGCCGACACGCTCTACCACCAGATGCTGGGTTACGAAGAACAGGTCAAGGAGGCTCGGAAGGCTGGTCAGGAACCCCCTCCGCTCACGTCGCTGTTCAACCCGCAGGCGCCGCCGTCATCGCAGGAATCGGCCAGTCAGCCCGGTGCCGTGGAGATCCCCGGGGGTGAAACCATCCCCGCTGGATTTAAGCCGCCCAAGAACTGGGAGACCCTGAGCCCGCACGAGCGGGAATTGGAGATCCGGACGCACAACGCGAACTTTGAACAGCAGAAGATGTATGCGCAGGAGGCTTCTCCGTTCCTCAAGACCCACGAGGATAACCGAGCCAAGCGCCGCGAGAAGGCCACCAGCTGGTTTGGGGAGAGAGTAGGGAGTTGGATCTCCTAGGAGGTCTCCGGCGTGATGTATCCGATATCCTTGACCTTGATACTCTGATATTTTTCCAATCCCTGTATTATTACC